AATGAGAATGGAGAGCTAACACTGTTTTGTGGGTTACATATCAATTCATTATAGTCTTCAAAACTAAAGTTTTATTTTTAACATCTTCATAACATTTAGATGTGAGTAAATCTAGCAGCACAGAACTATGGAACAAAAACTCAAAATGTTTTCTTGTGAAAGTTTCAAACTTTCCTAATAACTTTGCAGTTTTAAATCATTGTTTAAATAAACTAAACCCCTATACATTCACATTTTCCATCTCCAGGAACTCTTACTGTTTATGCAGTTTTGGTTGATGATTTTTATTTTTCTGCATTCTGTGAGGTTTTTAAGGGGGCAGGCTTCTTTCTCCTCTGTTATGCTTTAATTGTTTTGAATGATTTTTTTTTTTTTAATAACTCCTTATAGACTTTTTCCAAAGTGCAGATGAGAAGCAAAGGCCTGTCTCTACAAAGAAGCTGCTTGCAAGTATCAGGCTTTCTCAATGTGGTACTAAATCATGAAGACAGATGAGCAGGAGTGCTGATCACAAGGCCCATTGTGTCTTGAGGACGGGTGAATAAGTGAAGCAGTTGGAAATGCAGGAGTGTGGGACCCTTCTTTCTCCTTCCTCCTTATCCTAAGTCTTAGTTCTTGTTGGCCAAGTAGAAGTAGGCACTGCTCTTAGAGGAGTTCAGGTATTGACACCAGGATGCTGCTTTGGCTCATGTGGTCATATACTCTTCTCATAAAGAAACCGGGAAATATCCTAGCACAGAATCTTACATATGGGCTGCTGTCCCGATCCGATGTCAGGGATCATATAAATATCCCGATCTGATGTCGGGGAAGGTTTCGATATGATCCCAAGAGTGAGATTAAGACACAAACGAGGTCACATGCTGCACTCCTAGAACACCTTTTATTACAAAAAGAAAAGTAATAAAGAGGATAGCAATAGGACAGGATGGAACAAAAAATGGGAAATCAAGCAAGGAGTCAGGATAGGACAGCAAGAATAGTCACCACCACGGGTCCAGCGGCGAGGCGACGGTGAGGGGTGGGCGAGGAGGTCTCAGTTGCTTGTTCCAGTGGTGATGCGGTGTGTTGAGGTGCGGTGTGGTCAGGTGGTCGTCCTCTCTGTCTCTCTCCCGTCTCTCTCTCCCCTGTCCTTGCTTGTGCCAGTACTCTTTAAATACCCCTTCGGGGGCTGTAGTTTCCATAGCAATGGCACGTCTCTTCGTGCCCCCCAGCACTTGGGGCAGGGACATGTCTGGGTAGAACACCCCCGCGGGCAGGGCGCCTTCATGAGTCGGGGTTTCCAGAACCTGATAGTCTTGTGACCATCCTTGCAAGCAACCTTTGAGACAAGTCTATAGTGCAGTTCCTCACAACTGCCCAAAAGGTTGTATCTGCGAAGTAAAATGAAAAGTGTCCCTAGGGAAATAAATTCAATTCTGTTGAATGGAGACAGTGAGGATTTACCATGGTGTTTGTAAACAGCAATTGCTGCTGAAATCAATGTTTTAAGACAGGTGAGTGGAAAGGAGGCCTACTCTTTGCCATTTCTGGTTGCTTCACTATGTTTCAAAAGCACTTTCAGTCAAAATGCTCTCTGAGACTGGAATTTCATCTTTCTAAGATGCCTCTGTCTTATTCTGTCTTGTATAAAAGGCTTTTGTGAGTTGCCTTAGTAGTGCCCAGTAATGTTCTACCGAGTCATTGGTAGAGAGAGTTGACCACACTGCTACCAGAAAAGGGAGAGCTGTTACTTAATAAGGTAAGTTTGCTGAGACCATAATCTGCGTTCTGTATTCTAATGAAAATTGTCTCACAACACAATTTTCTTTTATCCCTAAGATCCAACATTACTCTGTAAACAAGCACCAGTGAATGCTTATTCAAACTTTTAGAAATCAGTTGTCTGGTTATTAATAATTCCTTAATTTTTACATTGGTCAGGTGGTACTTAACAAATACAACACTGTTTTGTCTATTCTTGCATAAAACTAAAATCTAGATCAGTAGCACAATATGAATGAAATAATTACCCGTCATCTAAATTTCATACTGTACCCTTGGTGTGATATTGATACAGGCTACCTGATATCTTTGTGGAGTAGAAGACCTTGTAGAAATGCAGCTTAGTCATACCATTTCTGTGGTATTCTCAGGACAGACTGAATAATTGACTACAGACATCTTAGCTTAAAAGACATCTTAGAGTTTCATACAGTCCTAATAATATGTGTACAGTCCCATGGGCTGCATCCAAGGATTATGCTAATTTTATTAGCAACTCCTCTTGCTTTAATTAAACTGTATAAATTCCCACCTGGTCACTGTTGTGCCCACACCCTTCTTTCAGTTTTTATTTGAATTTATAGATAATCTGTGGTTTTGCACTTCAATTCGGACTTCCTAAATTATACATTGTGTTTTCTACATGAAATAACACAATTTTGAGGGCTGAATAAGGTTTCATATTGACTTCATGAGTCTGAATCTCTGGATCAAAGCAAAGACCTGAGTTTCTACAGTTGTCCAGGTCTTTTTGGGAGCAGGTATTCAAAGTAACTTGCTGTCTGAAAGCACCAAGCTATACACTGCTGTTCAAAATACCTGCAAGCAAACTCTGTATTAACATTTACTTTACTGTATTTATACCATAAAGCAGAATGATGTGAATTCCTTAGTGGACTGTTAATTTACATGTTATACACTTTCAAATATTTCCAAAAGCAAATGTGAAATGATTAGTAATCCATTCACATGCTCAAAAAATATTATTAGCAAAATGCCTTGGGCAGTATGTTACATTGACTAAAATTGATATTTTTGTATTTTAAAACTAAAGCAACTACCCCTGCCCTCAACAAATCCTAAGAACTGCCCAGAGCCCAGACTTCCTGGTCACACCAGTTCTCAAGGTGTATGTTGGGCTGAGGGGGGAAAAGGCCAAAAAACCCACAGAGAATACTACCCAAGAGCAGTGATCTAAAGTTTGCAGTGATTTTTGATTCTTCAGAAAGCTTCACTGGAAGTCTTCTGTGGAGACCTGCAGTTTAAAATGGCTTGTTACCCATAAAATCAACATAAGGAGGTGATTCTGGCATTTACCACTTATTTTACTTACATAGGTTTTTAAAGTGTGTATGTGGCTATGGAGAAATCAAACCTGGTTGTTCTTTTTACTTCTGCATAATCTTCTATTTCCAGCTGTGTTTGGTTCTGACAGAGCAAAAGCCCTGGACAAAATATCTCGTATTCCTCAAAGAAAGATTGAGGTTGTTCTGTTTTGAAAGAGGACCAAAGAGCAAGCTGTTTAATGGTATTTGTCAACATATCTCGTCTTTGAATAATGGTTTCCATGCCTTAGAGACTCAAATATAATGTGACACTTCCTCCTAAATGCCAATTATTCTGTCCAGAAGAGTTGCCCAAAAGTCTGGTCCTTAGTGTTTCCCACTAAACCCACAGGATAAGGAACGTGGGGTATTACAATTCAATAAAAGCTGTTGTGATACTAAAACTGTGCAAAAAGCCTATGCACTAGCTGAGTATTGCTTGTTTGCTTGCAACATATTTTTCCAGCAATTTACATTTACAGCTACAAAGTAATTGAATAAAGAAATACATCATCATTTTCTTTTTTAGCACATGGGTGAATTATTTTACCAACATGTGAAGGGGTGTTCATATAACATCACGGTGCTTTGTGCTCGAGAAAAACAATTACAGTGAATAAGGTAGAATGGCTCTGTTATTGCAGTACATAAGACTTTGATTACATACTGCCAAGATTCATACCAGCCTAGTAGTTGTTGACAGATAAAGTAACAAAAATGAAACTCATTTATTTTTTCTTTATTGAGACCTCAAGGTAAAGCAAATTTTCAGTTCTTGTACTTACTACATTGAAGGAACAGAGACTGACAGTCAAAATGTGCCAGTCTAGAAATATAAATTAAACCTAGTTTCATATCAAAGTTTCATTTAGTCTCTGAAAAGGAGCTGCTGTTTGGATTATTTTTGATCCTAGAACAAATACACTGTAGACTACTATAGTGTATCTTGGATGAATTAACCCCCCGGTATGTTTAGCTCTTATGTATTTTCCAGGATGCAGAACTGTCTCTATCCAAGCCATTTTAAAATTTGTTATGGACTTAACTATTTCACTTTTTCTCTGTTTAGTAAGAACTTACTGTGTTTACAAACCCAATGAACTTGAGGATGGTTTTAATAGAGTGTAGCACTTTTGCTGAAAAATGACATATTTTGAGGAAAAAGCCCTCCTTCCTGCCTTGTGTAAAGAAAATTCTTCTGCCTTTTACTGGGAGTTCCTCTAGGCAGCTAGATGCTGCATTATTCCTTGATAAGTCTAATAAATGACTTTTTTTTTTGGTAAACTTGATTAGTTTCTAAAGAACTGATAAAACTAACTGTTGAAATGGAAAGTGCTAAAATGAGTGGTTTTATCCCATCAAAATCTTGGTTTAGTTACCTAGCCCAACTGAATACAATCGTTGTTCAGATTAATGAGGCAGTATTCTAGTATCTCCTCTGTAATTAAACGCTTCTCTGGTTGAATACAGTATTAAAGATGCACCAGACGTTGAAACCTCAGTGGTGAAATTTAAAACTGTTGGAATTAGAGGGGTCAGCTGTGAAACACAAATTCCTCTGCAGCATGGGTAATTCACTTGTAAAATGTGTTTCAAGAATAATTTGGCTTATGTTGGGGATGCTGGATTTTTTTAATTTTTCTTATCTTTCCATCATCTAAATTTGAGAATTTTTCTCATTAGTTTCTGAGCAAAAGTAACATAAAGTGCACTTGTTTCCAGAATTACCTTTTCTGACCTTTCACAAGATGATAATTGCAGTACTAGTAGGTTTAGAGGACTTGTTAAAAAAATTAAGCTTATAAAGTAGCAAAAAATGCCCCTTTGCTTGCTGGTGTCGATTTCAAAATTAACATTTTGGTTCATGTGCTTCTAATAATCGCTGACCCTTACTTCATGTGCTTTCCACAGGAAATGAATACAGCAGAAATTACTTTGACCCGTTGATGGATGAGGAAATAAACCCAAGGCAGTGTGGGATGGAGGTCAGTGAAGAAGGTGAGGCAGAATTAAGTATGTAATTTTGGTGTCAGAATATTCTTTTCCATTCATGAAAATGAGGTGACAAAGATCACATATGCAGTTCTATTTAAATGTTGAGGTTTACAATTTAAATTATAAGCCTTAACCATTCTAAACACGATGGGCAGTGTACACAGTCTTTGATCAAGGACAGTGAGTTAATGGATAGGTAAGAGTGAGGCTGTGCTGTATTCACTCTGTTACCGTAGGAAAATTAAGCAAGCTCCAAGAACATTGTCTACACGGTGTTCTCTTTAATTAATGAAGTTAATCTAAAAGTGAGTACTAAGCTGTAGCTTTTTTGCAACCCTGTTCCCAAAGTCCTTCTTGGAGAGCAATTTTATTTCTGAACTGGATGTGTGTTTGCCTAACAGAAGGAAACTCCAGAGCCCATAAAAGTTGTTGACACATGAGAAAGCTTTTTTGGTTTTTCTGTTTGCCAATTTAGCTGAGATGTTTAGCTTTGCTGTCTGTGGGTGACAGCAAGGAGCAGGAGGGTGTGTCTGCAGAGCTGGGAGAAGAGAAGTCATGCATAGGTATGAGAAAGATTAACCAGGGGGTATTGTTTTTTCCCTGCTGAGTGGAGGAAATTCTCCTTCACTGTCATGGTTTTTTAGATAAAAAAGGGTGGGAACGGGCCTGCCTGAATTTGCATGGACTTAAGTAAGAACATCATCACGGTAGTGAAGTGCTCAACTATGCACAGAATTCTTTGGCTCAGCTCCTATTGTTAAGAACTAACCACCCAATAACACACAAGACCCAATTCCTCTGTGTTGCCTTACTAGCCCTTTGCTTTTTAAACCTTGTGCTTATTTGTACTGCAAGACTCTCTAGGCGTGCAGTTTTAGTCAAATCTAAAAAAAAAATTCTCTGCTAGAAGGGGTCTCAACATAGGTCGTTTCTGAAATTCATGAGAAACTTTTACCTTGAGTAGATATGGAGGTTTAAACTTCTGAAGCAAAAACTTATGTAACTGAGAAAAGCAGTCTCTGATTCACATCAGTGACTTAAATTTTTGTGCACTGGTGAAAAATCAAGGTTTAATAAGGGTGAATTACATCTAACCTCTATAATTTCCTTATCTATTGTATAGGACAACAATCTAATACCTTGGAACTTAACTTCTGGCTCAGTCTTTACATGAAAGATTTTCTTTCTGTTGCTACTGCCTTGGTTCATCTTGTGAATAAGCAATATGAGTCCTGATCTGCTTTATAACCAGAGAATGAAAAGGAGATTAGATTTCTGCAACTGTATGTGTATTTCTAAGAACACATATGGATAGAGTGGATATAAAGGATACATGGAATTTCAATTTTCATCTGGAGAAACTGTTTTCTTGCCTGTGTTGAGGAGGCTGCCTGATACACACTTAACCTTAAATGTTCATTAGGGGGTGCTAGTTTTGGTTGTTTGTGTGTGTGGGTTTTTATTTTATTTTTTATTTTTATTTTTTTATTTTT